TCACCGACAGGAGAACATCAAGGTGTGACACGCACACTTAATAGAATACGATTAACGCACAACTGGCGAGGCATCACAAGAGATGTCGAAAATTATATAAGCAAATGCGAGAATTGCCAAAAAAATAAATTAAGTCGAAAAACAAAAATGCCATTAGAAATTACGGACACCCCCGCAAAACCTTTCGGGAAATGCGCACTCGATATCGTAGGAACACTAACGATAACTACAGCAGGGAATAAATACATCCTCACCTTTCAGGATAATCTAACGAAATTTAGTAAAGCAATACCTATTGCAAATCAGGAGGCCGCAACAGTAGCAAAAGCCTTTGTAACGCGAATAATTGTTGAATACGGGATACCCAAAAAAATTTTGACCGATCAAGGTACAAACTTTGTAAGCGAAATGTATAAAAATATTTGCAAATTATTAAAAATCGAGAAGATTCAAACAACCGCGTACCATTCGGAAAGCAACGGAGCATTAGAGCGTTCACACCGAACGCTAGCGGAATATCTTCGCCATTATATAAATGACGAACAAAGTGATTGGGATGAGGGGCTACCATATGCGATGTTCACGTACAACACAACACCACACACAGCTACAGGATACACACCATCTGAATTAGTCTACGGACACGAAGCTACCTTACCAACATCACTAACGATACCACCAAAACCGTCATATACGTATGATGACTACGCTCAAGAATTGAAGGAACGATTACGAGCAACAAATCAAATAGCAAGAGAACATCTAAAGGAAGAAAAAATCAAGGCAAAAGAATATCACGATAAAAAAGCCAAAGAAATTAAATTCAAAATAGGGGACAAAGTACTTCTATACGACGAAACTTTACGTCGCGGACGATCGAAAAAATTAGACGCGTTATGGACCGGACCATACGTAATTTTAGAAAAAAATTCCGACGTGAATTATACGATAAAAATTGCGCGTAAAAAACTACTAACGCACGTAAATCACCTAAAAGCGTATATAGATAATTAAAAAATTTAAAAATAAAAAAGTTAAACAAAAACAAATTATAAATAATTAAATAAAAATAATAAACTCACCAACGAAGAGGAATCCAATAAACAATAATCCAAATGAGATAATCCAATATGAACTACCCAATAACTATGTATACTAGCACTAATAATAAACCACTAAAAATAAACAATAAAACTAACACTAAAAACTAATAATAAAATAAAAAATAAGTTTATTCGGTGGAAGCGCCGGGTTGTGGATCATCATTGGAACGACCACGACCATCAGCGTCGATCAAGAGACGGCCCTCCCGTAATAATCCACGAATATTAAGCGCACCGTTACCACGACCATGGCCCCCGGTGCGCACTTCCGGAAAATGGTCCCGCAATTGTTCACCGCGATCGCGACCGCGGCCGCGACCACCCATACGGAGAAAACCCTCCTCAGCCAGTTCACTAAATAGTCCATATCGACCGCGGTTACGACCATGACCGCCTATAATTCTGAGAAGTTCCTCCCGACGCACTCCACCCTGGTCATGATCCAGGTTTGCAGGACCCGGAACGTCCGGCTCCCAACCCGCGGTAGCAGGCCCAAAATGAGCCTTAATATCGGGAACAATCTTTCGGCACATACTTTCACGAGAATAGAACAAACGAATCGAAAGACACTTGCAACGAACGACACTTGCGAAGCGACTGACGAGACCGCACGCACATAAAAAACCTTCCCATGAAAATCTCCTGACGAAGACAGTAATAAAATATGATAACGCTAAGATATAAACGTAATCAGACGAAGCGAGAAGACACATAATACACATAGGGAAAGGTGCATTAAATAAAAGCTAGCTAACCAACACTACTATTGCATTTTCAGAATCGCGCTGTTCTTAGCACAAGCCTTCGCAGAAGAAGCGAAAAAAGAAACACCCTACGAAATAGAAAATTTCACCAATCACCCAGGGATATATTTCGAGAAAATAGGAAACTTAGAATTAGTACAATCATCGTGGAAATTAGTTATACGAATCGATATTACCGCATTAACAAAACGATTAACACAATTGTATCAATATATACGAAAATCAAAAACTATGTGCCAACTTACTTCAAGTACAGCTAGAGACACTTGCGAAAACCTTAACTTCATAATTGACAAAGAATACAAACACGCGGACGAACTAATAACAAAAATAATTTCTACAACTAGACAAACAAGAATACAAAAAAGAGGACTGATTGACGGAATAGGTACCGTCGCGAAAACTCTATTCGGTACCATGGACGCTAACGACGAAACGTTAATATACGAACAGCTGACTATGCTACACGACGAACAACTAGTAACACAACACGCTTTAAAAAACCAAGTAAAAATACTACAAGCAACTATAGGACATATAGAAAACACAGAAAAAACATTACAAACAAACGAATACATTCTAGCTAACGCGACTAAAAAACTAAGAGGACAACTATTAGAAGACGAAAAACAAGACAGAGTACACGAACATTTTATTATAAGTAGCGCAATATTAAACGACTTAATGCGAGATGCGGAAGATATCCTAGAATATCTAGCTTTTATAAAAACAGGAATACTACATCCTAGATTGATACCTCTAAATAATATAATAGAAAATCTTAAAGAAACAAATACACAATTACCTGACGACCTCCATTTTCCTTTAAAAATTAATAACAATGAATGGCCAAAAATAGAAAAAATAATTACAATTAACGCATATTGCGATGCAAAATACATATTTACAATTTTGCAATTTCCCTTAATAACAATTCCAAAATACGAGCTAATAAATGTAATATCACTACCGGTAAATCAAAATAAAAATGAATTTGTATTTTTAAAAATAAAAAACCCGTTAATTGCCATATACACAGAAGGACGATCATATTTAATAATTAAGAATAATAATAATCTCAAAAATTGTAAAACAATTTATAACAACTACATATGTAGCGAAAACTTTGAAATACGCCGCGCTAACTTAAATCCGACCTGCGAGATAGAAATATATTTAGGAAATAAAGAATATGATAACAATTGCGAAATAGAAAATAAGACATCAAACAACACTGTATGGATACCACTAATAACCCTCATTCGTGGTTATTTGCGACAACAAAAAAAGAACAAAATATTATAAAATGTAAAGACCACGGACAAATAAAGGAAACAATTGAAAACACAGGAAAAATTTCCTTAATAGAAGATTGTAAATTAATAACGTCAGACACAACGCTACAGTCACAAAAAACATTACACGAGACAGTAATAGAATCATTCATGCCAGAATACAATATATCTTTCTTAAAAAACGAACAACAAACGAAGACTGACAGAAACGAACAAATAAAAATAAAACAAGTCAATGTCAACTCAACAGAGCTAAAAGATTTCAAATTAAAATTAGATAAAATAAACGACAATATTGACGAAAATGAAAATCTCCAGTTCCGATTGGAACACTTTATTTCTCCAATGGCAACTAGCGGAATTGCTGTACTACTAGTATTAATAATCATTATAATAGCGATAATCTATATCCTACGAAAAAAGAAACGGAGTAAATACAACAAAAAGGAACGTGCAGACGAGGACATAAGCTTTGCTTTCGAACTTCCAAAGTCAATTTTAAAACGAAGTAAAAGCACACGTTTTTAATAATAATATGTTTAACGAAAAACTCCGTTCCTCCGTTTTTCTTTTCCAACGGGGGAAGGGTGTTATAGCCCGAATGGCTGTCACTTATTTTATCAATTACTTCATTTCAACCGGCATAGCAACCGGCACCGGAAATGCAAGTCTGCACATTCTTTAAACCGCGAATAAAATTATCGGAACTCAATTTGTATGAGCTAAAAATTGTAAAAATTTAAAATATTATTACGCAACAACAAGCGCTTTAGATCGTATAGCCATTCTCCGCATATTATTGATATAATTAGAAAATATAGAAATACTAATCTTGTTTTACTTTATTAAGCCTAAGGCACACGGTGCGTTTTTTCGTGTTAAATCGCATGCGACCTAACCATGTGAGCAAACATGCTAGCTACGAAGCTAGATGTCATGCGTATTTGCTTGCTGGTTTTCGATGATAGAAACGGTGCTATTTTCGCTGCGTGTTTTAGTGCTAAGTTAAGCCTACGGCACACGGTGCGTTTTTTCGTATTAAATCGCATGCGACCTAACCATGCAAGCAAAGCCTACGGCACACGGTGCGTTTTTCTGTGTTAAATCGCATGCGACCTAACCATGCGAGCAAACATGCTAGCTACGAAGCTAGAGATTTTGTACGCTGCGTGATATCATGCGTATTTGCTTGCTGGTTTTTGGTGATAGAAACGGTGCTATTTTCGCTGTGTGTTTGGTGCTGCTCATTAGTTAAATAAAAGTAATAACCTATCACAAGTATAAAATAACGATAGTTTAGTAATGTACAATATAAATATGTCATATATACATTGTTATACAAAATATATGTCATATATATACATATGTATACGTATATATATGACATATATTTTGTATAACAATTTATTTGTAAAAGATCTTATATTTACACATATATATTGATAATTTTATTTATATTTCTTGTGGAAGTGATGCAAGTCGAAAGGAGAAGAAAATTAGCTGCAGTAGCTCTTTTCTTATCAATAGATAGAGAACGGAAGAAATTGAAGACGAAAAGAAAAAGAAAAATTTGGACTAGAATGTGGTTACAACGCAGGGAGACAGGACAAAATATTTTAACAATGCTGTATAAAGAATTAAGGTGTGTGATAATATTTATTCATATATCTATTGTATATTATGTTTATGTAATATTTTAATTATTTTATTTGAATGATCTATACCTGCTTACATTTATATCTTGTATATATTATTAATCTTATGTGTGTGTATTTTAGTGTTGAAGATCCAAGTTCCTTTTTAAATTATATACGTATGGAACAATATGTGCTTGAAGAGCTATTGCAACTTGTTACGCCCTATATTCAGAAACAAAATACTGTAATGAGACAAGCTATCTCTTCTCGAGATAGATTAAGTGTTACACTGCGATTTCTTGCTACTGGTAATACATTTCAAGATTTATCATATTCAACTCGGATTGCTCCTAATACACTATCTCAGATTATACCTGAGACATTAAAAGCTATTATAACAGTTCTTGATAGTAAAGTAATCGTTTGTCCATCAACTGTAATGGAGTGGCAAGTTGTAGCAGATAAGTTTAATACATGGTGGCAGTTTCCTCATTGCATAGGGGCATTGGATGGCAAGCATATCAATTTTCGACCACCAAGAAAAGAAGGATCTATGTATAGGAATTATAAAGGAAGAGACAGTATCGTACTTCTTGGTCTTGTGGATGCCGAATATAGATTTTTATTTGTAGATATTGGAAGGAATGGTCGCATGCATGATGCTTCCGTATTTCGTGAGAGTTCTTTGGCTACGCAATTATATTCCGAAACATTAAATTTACCGTTACCATCTCCTTTACCAGGATATGATATTCCTTTACCATATGTAATTGTGGCAGATGATGCCTTTCCGTTAAAAGTACATATAATGAAACCATATCCTGGTCGTGATCTTACTTTTCAAAAGAAAAGTTTTAATTATAGACTAAGCAGAGCACGCAGAACTATTGAAAATGCATTCGGTATCTTGGCGAACAGATTTCGTATTCTTATGAACATTATTCCCCTTTCAGTTGAAAAAGTAGAATTAATAACTTATGCATGCTGCGTGCTTCATAATTATCTTATAGACAAAAAAGTGTCATGGTATGTTCCATTGGAATTAAAGAACAGAACTGATATAATACAACCAAATTTAAGTGGCATATCACGACAAGGCGGAAATCATTGTTCAAACACAGCTAATACAATTAGGGATCAATTTTGTGAATTCTTTAATACGGTAGGAGCTGTACCATGGCAAGAAAAATATGTACAAGAAGGACGATGTTAATTAACTTTTATTTTATAATATTAAAAATATAATTTGTATTCTTGTGTACTTTTAATAATTTTGTACTTAAAATATAACATAACATAAAACAAAATCACAACAGGCATCTATGGTATTCTTTATTATTACGTATCTTATAATAATTTTGTACTTAAAATATATGTAATTCGTATTTGTGCTTTTGTTAACATAACATAAAACCATAACAGGTACCTATATTTTTTATTACTATGTACCTTTTACAAGCACCTTGATATTACCTCGTACAAACAGTAATATGTAAAACTAGGAACAATCTTAAAATTAACTTTTAGACCTCTAAAATAATCTCTTTATTATAAAACATGTATGTATATGAAATTTAAAATCATAAACACGAAACATATAATAAACTGTGTTTATATAGTATTGCTATTATTAGTATTGCTGAAATTATGTATAATAGAACATATGAACAACAAAAAAAAAACAGAAGTTATTTCAGTACAAAATAAAAAAACAGTCTCAAAAGCACATGCCCGGTAACTAAACCTAATACACATCTACAATAGCTATAGAAAGTAACGAGAAGTAGTAAGCAATTAGACCAATCACAATCGATTCTTAAATTGTAAAAATGAAATTGGTCCATTTATTTACTACTTACTTCTTATAGTACTACTGCCATTGTAGATGATGCATAATATAGCAATACCTGTTATGAAACAGCATTTACTCATTTTTTGGCTCTTTCTAAGTCCATTGTACTCATATTAATCACAGTTTGTACCAAAGTGTTCATAAGATCTAATTTTAACTCTAGACATTTCAATTCTTTTATAAGAGAACCTAAAAATTTCATGCAATTGTTAATCGTATCTTCACTGTCTACATTATTGGTAGGTTTTGTCGGCAATGGTGTTTTTAAAGATTGGGCAATAGATTGAATTGCATCTACGTAAACATCTTCACTTTGAGTTTTGCGTTTTTTCGAGATACGACCAGAAGATGTATATGCTCCTTCGTTGAACACACTAGATGATGCTGTTGACGGTACTGGACTTGCTATTGAAGATGATGGACTTGGAGTGTCTACTTTATGCAATACTGCTGAAGTCCTAGATATTGACTGATTTTCTTTTGTTGCATACAGTTTTTGTGTTGTTACACTTGGAATTGTATCAATCGTGAATTCGTCTTCGAGTGTCCATATTTCACTGTCATTTACTTCAATTTCTTCACCCTCATTTAAGCTAACATATTCAGTTTCAGATGTCATTTCATTATTATCTAATACTTCTTCCTGTAAATTAATATCTAATTAATAATCATGATAAAAATAAATGCAGATTTAAACGTAAAGCCAGCGGCACACGAAAAAATGTTTTTCTACTGGATTGTTTACGTTTTGGTAAATTACTAGAAATTCTGCGTTGAGTGGTGTAATTCTAATAATTTACTAAAACACAAGTAATTCAGCAGGAAAACATTTGGATAAGTTCTGGATAATGATAAAATATTTGTTAATAAAGAATAACTAAGAATCAGATTTTCTATAAAAGCTTAATTTTCTATAAAAGCTTATTAAAACATAAATAGAATAATAATAAATGCAAATAGTAATTAGTTTCAATTGTAGATATTATAAATACATACCTGCGTTGAAACAGTACATGTGTTTACAGCAAATTCTGTATTTGATAGCGATGATTTGCTTTTTCTTGGTATAACATGTTCCTCTAGAAACTTAAGAGATTCATAATACCATAGATTAGGCCTATAGACCTATAAAACAGATATTTAATTTTAAATATACGTCATTATTCCATGGCTTACACATATTAATAGTACTCACATTTTCAATGCCTATTCCACTCTTAATTGATCGTCTTACTTTTGCATTTTCTGTGTTAAACTGGTTTCTAAGATTATGAAACTTTGCACTGCATTCTTTTTCATTGGAATTTGGTCTAATTGTAGAAACTACAGCACTAATACGCTTTAAAGCTTCATTTCTTAAATGTTTATTGTGATAATTTGGATTGTTGATTGCATACAAACAAGGTTCATCCTTATATGCATCTATTAAGACTTCTACTGCTCGTTTCGGCCACCCTGTCATGTCTTTTATTCTGTAATAAAATTAATATTTGTAATTAAAAAAGTAATTTATATATATATATTAGGGTGTCCGTTAATTTGGCGATTTTCGAATTTTTCCATTTTCCGGGCAAAAAGTGGTTCAAAATAAATAAAAAAAAAGTTTCCCAACGGAAAAAAAAAAATAAAAATTTTTAACCCGTGCCACCGAGCACATGAAGTTTTGTACTGAATTTGTATGGGAAAAAAAAACTTTTTCAGTATTTTAGCCACCGAATTTTTTGTACGTTATTAAAAAATCTGACTACTTGCATATCTTTTCTTGAATGCTGCCTGAAGACCCTCCAATTGGGCGCGGTCAAACAAAATTTTTTTTCGTTGATATATTCAAGTTTACATAAACTAAATTTTTATCATAAAAATTAAGAAAAATGCAAAATTCCGACTTTTTTCACTTTCTTTCACTTCCAACGTATACTAAAATTATTAACCATATTTTTTCAACATCTTTAGGAAATTCCACGTAAGATAGTCACCGAATTTTGTCACGAAATATGATTTTAAGGCAAGTTAGAAAATTTTTAATGAAAATGTAATTTTTTTGAAAAAAATCAAACGGAGGAAACATTTTTTGATTTATCCACCACAACTCGATTTTAAAAAAATCACATCGAGTTTTTCCATTGTGGATTATATTCCTTACCTTTTCGGGCAAAAATGTCTATATTGTTGATTTGAAAAAAAATTCCCGCCGTGTTATCCCATTTTGAAATGATACCTTCGAATTTGCGTAAAATCTGGATGTCTATTTGATGAGTATAAGTATCTTTTTCTTGACACTCACGTAAGAAATTTGTAAAGTTAACTGTGTAAAATATTAATATTTAATCATATAATTTTTCCATTATTATAATATTTGTATTACATCTATGTGAATCAAACGGTTGCAGAAGTTTCGCGCCTTAGCGCGTTGCGAGCTTTCGAGTTCACACTGCGGTCGCGCCGTGGCGTCAACGTCGGTGAGCACTTTTACAAATGTTTGCAATTTTTGGGCGACTTCAACGCGCTCTTTATGGGATCTGACGAATCACGTATCTGGCAACCCTGCCCGAGACCTAAATGTAAACAAACATGAACGCGTGTTGAAACGTCTCTTCAGTGTCGTCTACGACGATAACAATGGCGTGTAGTAACATAATATTAAGAAAGCGTATATTTCTAATTGGAGATGTGGATTCTCAAATTATCGGTAATAAATTACCAAGCAATAAACAAGTGCTTAAATTATTTTTTTTCAACACGCGTATATTACATTATTCTAATCATACAAGTGCAACGTTAGTAGTGGAGGAAGTTTTACTGTTTTGGAATAAAGCTGGAATCCCAACCAAACTAAAAGGAAAATGCATCGAGAAAGTTGAGAAGTTGCATACCGAATGGCGTAATTTGCAAAAACGATCTGGCGAACCAAGTAACATAGAAAAAGAAGCAGAATTTGTTAAAAAGCTTGAAATGCTATTTGATATTGCGAGTTCTGATAAATGTTTAGTTGATATCGATGAAAAAAAATTACAGTTTTTAGAAAATCAAAGAAGTGCAAGATCTGGTAATATTGGTAACATTTCGTCTGTTTATGACGAATTATCAGAACAAGAAATAAATGAAATTCGTGAACAACGTCTTGAGGAAAAACGCAAAAGAAAAAGCGGTCAAGTAGGTGAGAATAATTTATTTCAAATTTTTCATTAATTAGATTATTTTATAAATAGACTTTTAGAAATTGCTTTAAAATATAAAACACACATATTCCAGTAAAATAACTTTCTAAAATAGAATCAAAACAAAAATACAATCCCAGGTAGAAATTAGCCCTGGATTTTAGCTAGATTCTGTGTGGATTTTTCCATATTCATTCTGAAATACAGCCTAAAATCTAGTTCGATTTTTTAACCATTACATATCTGAATAAAATATCGAATAAGTTATATGTAAATTGGTTAGAATTCAGTAAGTTTGATCCTGGCGGAATTTTCAACCAGATGTGGAAACAAATATGGAGAAATCCAGGCAAATTTCTACTAGGGATATTATTTTAATTTATTTACATAATGTAAATCATTATATTGTATAATACATTTTGATAATATTTTATAAATACATTCGATTTGTGTATAGAAAATCATGTTTATTTTTTGAGGTTCTTCTTCACATAAACTAAACATAACCTCATTAGATTTGGTTTTATCTGATAACAACAAAATTTATATAAATAATTTGTTTTTTGTGCTTTTAGAAGAATTAGTAGAAGTAATGAGTAGCAGTCAAAGCAGTTTCTCGTTAAGTCAGGGAAGCACCTATGAACCAGAAAATGTCAATTCTAAACATTTAGAAATGAAAAAATCTCGTGGAACAAAGAATATTATTGATGAGAAACTAGCGATAACACTTGATAAATGTTTAGTAACTGATCGGAATGCAACAAGATTGATCATTGCAGTAGCTGAAGCACTGGGTCATGATACCCAAGAATTAATAACCAACAAAAGTTCAATTAATTCATACCGCAAGAAAATCCGAAAAGATTTAGCAGAAAAATTTAAAAAGGAGTTTTCAGCTTATGACTTAAATGCCATTGTTCTTCATTTTGATGGAAAATTAATGCAAGAACTAACGTCTTCGAATAAAGTGGATCGGTTAGCAGTAGTTATCACCAATGGTGAACTGGAAAAAATTCTTTCCGTTCCTGGATTAAAAAGTGGAACTGGCTTAGAACAAGCAATGGCAATTATTGAGGTAAATTTACTTTATTCAAATAACAGTTCTAATTTACAGCTTGTATTCTACACTTAAATTTAATTTGTACAATTTTAATTTTATAAAATTATTAAATTTTATAAAAGATTGCTAATTAAAAATCCTGA